TAGGTATTAACCCTGAACCTAATCCTAAACCTAATAGTCCAAGAAGTTACCTTATACATTGTAAGTGCACATACTATAAAATAAAGTGCAATCCCATTTTTATTGGATGTAAATGTGAATTTCATGAAACCACATACATTAATTCTTCTGTTAAAAGTGTATTATGAAGTTGTAAAATTGGAAATCATACTTGAGTAAAAATACAGATACCTTATAGTGAAAATTATTCCATTACAAGTTACAAGTCACCGATTCCAATATGACATGAGTACAATTCTTAAAGTATCTGATTTCAACAGTACTTAAGTATTTTACTCATACTGATACTCATACTCATAAAGATGCTCTAGTTCACAACACCTAAGAGTCATGCCAGTGAAAAGCAAGAAACACTTGATCTGTGAGGAGAGCAAGTCACGTTTGGTTGATAAAAAACTGAACACCTCAAAATTGCAATAAATCAAGGTCAACACAACAGCGGAAGTCTCAGTTTAAGTTGAAGTGCTCAAACAAGGCATAAGTAAACCAATATGCTTCAAAAAGGTCTCTTCAGCATGACAGATAAATAAAATATTGTTAAGTAAAATTAAATAGTCAAGGCCTACTTGCACTAAACACGCTGGCTTCGGCCTCATCACTGGCTACAGCCATGTCCTTATATGAAAAATCTGTGATTCACAACTACCTGATAATGCACTTGCGTTTGGGTAAAATAGCCTTGTTGACAAGTTTGGGTGCATAAGGGCAAAAGGCACAATAAATAGTACCTTCAATGCCCTGCAGATGGCGATCTAACGTCTTTTGTAGCAGAAATAAACTGCTGCAGAAAAAGCTAGGTCCATGCAAAATGTAATGTGTAACTGCAACCCTCATTTCAAATGTAGTAGAGTAAAGAGTACAGATACTCATTCAAAAATGTAGTGAAGTAAAGAGTAAAAGTTGCTAGTATCTTTGATACTCAGTACAACTACAAAGTACCCGAAAAGATACTCAAGTACAGTAACTAATTACATTTACTCCAGTACTCCAGCTGATGACTGAAATGAACCCAGTTATTATGCCATGCACTGCAGATTAAGAATAAGATCATTGTTAATCACATTAATAATAAACCATGCATGCAATGATAGATTCAACAAAACAAAATGTTGCATATACATGCAGCGAGCAACCTTGCAATGTTTCCTCCTGCTCAATGCGGGACTATTGGCATGCAGAAAGGACAGGTTACCCTGTGCATGTAAATTCCGCATTACTATGCTTTCCGGCAGATAGAACTGAATCCGACAAGCTGAGCAGGCAAATCATTCCCACAATGCCTCTGGAAGGAACCGAGTCTGACAGTGGAGTGTGCTGTATGGATTATAATCCTAATGTCAAGCCATCCGCTGCATCTCAGTGGTGCTCTATATGGCAGTTCCCTACGTAATTATGAGGGGATGTTATCCATGATGCTGAGCTGAGATGAGGGGGACAGGGAAATGAGAACCAAATGGAGGACATGAATCAATACAATACTAAGAGACAGGGGAGAGAAAGTGTGTGTTATAAAACAACATCTGTATTTCAGAATCAATCTAATATCTTACTGTGAATGTCTGATGCTCCGTTATGCAGTTGGTTCCACATGAGGTGACAGAGGCTTCAAACAGCAATGTGAAGCATGAATGTCAGAGACAAACTAGACAAGACAAAGCACTTTGCTGTCTTCACACTCAGATGAACTTTCCTGACATGTGAGAAGAGCAGAAAACATCACAGCTATCTATCTATCTATCTATCTATCTATCTGTCTATCTGTCTG